TTAGCAACACCTGTTCCTACTGCCTTAGAAAGTTCTTCCTTTGGTGAGTGCTGTGAAGTGTGTAAACCTGGCGATTCACAGACCTGTACCCCTGGGGATTAAAATATATTATATGGTTATAAAAAAATAAAATTAAAAAAAAAAAAAAAAAGTTCTTCCTTGATCTTCACATGCCCTAGCCTGCCCTGAACCTTCTGGTCCGCACCCATCACTGTCTGCCACATCACCCTTTTACTCTGTTCGTAACACTTTCCCTCTGATGTGTTCTAACCAGACACACTCACTCAGCTCTTTATTGCCCCTCTTTCCTCAAGACGCTGTAAGTCCTGTGGCAGTGAGAACCATGCTATCTTACCATCTCAAGATTCTCAGCACCTAGAGAAGATCTAGCTCAGAGTCAATGCTTCATAAATATTTGTTAAATCCATCCAGTTTTTAAAAAATAAAACTTAGTTTTTGATGCACTAAGAATTCCTTTATCCAAAACCTGTCATCAACACAGAAGATGAACAAGATAATTTCTCATGTAGCTTAAGTAATTGGCCTAGGAAATAATTCACATAGCAAGTAAGTTTTATATACTCATCACCCGGTGTGTCAGGCCAGAATGTCCTGAAGTTTGCTAGTACAGACGTTTTTTGCTCTGTCTGGGTGGTGGCCTGGCCAGGCTAGTTCTTAGGTAGCTAATCACTCTGTCTTTAGCTACTCCAGTCTCAAATTGAATTCCTATTTAGGTAGTTCTTTCCATAATCATGTCAAGAAAAGTATTTTTTTAGGGTAAGATCCTTTCTTGATCATGGTCTACCTGATCCTTTATAACACAGGTTCCTTGGAAAGTTGATGGTACCAGTCGATAAGAGCCCAGACACACTCTGTGGTCCTCCAGTTTTGTTGACTCCATGTGAACCCAGCTGCTTGGCTACTTTGGTTTTGGTGTTATTCTCTTTATGCCTCAGGTAATTCAAAACTGATAAATGAGCCAGTTTCTTTTCCTAGATAAGGCCTGTAGGGGAATTTGGCCTGTTACTGGTGACAATATAACCTCGCAAAACATGCATAAACACAATGCTGGCTAAATACTCCAAAGGTGAGGGGCAGGAGTGGGTTGGTATAGGCCCAAAGTAAAATATCCTGGAGGGTTTTCTGTGATTTTCCAAAACCCCACATTCAAAAATGGGTTCTTCTCATCTGCTGGGCCTATCGTGGGAATTGAGGAAATAATGATAGCAAAGCAGTCTGTGTCCTGCCTTGTAATATACCTTGGGTAAATGTTACCTAGTACTATTGTTCACTCATCTCAGCTCATATTCTGGAAGGACACAAGACACTGGGCTTTGTCTCTAACACACTTAGAGTTTACCCTATCCTGAGTAGTTGCAAAACTCACTGACAATCTGTCAGCTGCTAGGGAGCAACTTGCAGAATGAGTTGGCTCCAGGCAACTCATTTTTCGAGCCCTTCCCTGCCCACACGTACTGTGAGTTACCCAGAAAGCAGCAGCTGCAGCCACCAGTGGAAATTCCCCAAGGCCACTCACTGCCTCTGCTTGTGGGGAAAGGCATGGCAGGGGAATGGCCTCCTTCACCAGCTCCTAGGTGTCTGGCCAAGGTCTGCAAATCCTGAGGCTCTATAGCAGTTGCCCTATTCCTCACAGATAGCAGAACAAGCCTCTCTCTCTGCCGTTCTTGTAAGCAGGCAGAGCTCATGGGGAGAGAGCAGAAGAGATTTGGGGAAGGGCTCCATTTTCCTGGTTTCAGCAGAATTTTGGATAACCTGAGGTTCTTGCAGATTGTTTGTTCTGTCTCTCTTCCTCTCTCCATGATAGTCATAACATTTGAAGTTCCCTTTGCCTCTGATCATAAACTCTGCTTCTCGAATAAGGGAGCAAGTTATTCAGATTGTAGAAATTTCTTAGAAGGAAAGGGGGTTAACGGAAAACAGCATATGTGTCCATGTGCTGACGGTCTGAATATTACATTATCTATTTCCACAAGTAAACTTTAAACCAGACCGGTCTATCACACACAGAGATGGCATTGATCTTCCAGGAGGAATTGCCAGCTGCAAAATGCCTGCTGTCCCTTCCTGCCCATTAGGGGGTGGAGAGTGCCTCTTTTCAACTAGCTGAAACACTCAGTGTAAATATTTGAGACTCCAACCCAAATTAATTCTTGCTAATCCTTTATCTTCCTTTAAAAAATGAGTAAGAATCATTCCCCCCTTGATTCCGTGAGGATGAAGAAAGGACATTTTACCTGCTACAGTGTCTCCAGCATTGCAACTGGAAATGTAATGGGGGTATCTGGTTGCATGTTTGGGCTCAGCCTGTGTGGCTCTACTTTATATAAGCTCGTTCATAATTCAGCATTCAGACTCAGCTTGCTGGTTGATGGCCTGTAGGGAGCCAGTAATCCTCATTTCAGGAGAATAGTTAGTGAGAGCAAACCTACCCTCCCTTGTCCCACCAACCCCCTCGTTCTAAAACACTGCAGTGGTTCAAAGCAGTCTTTTCTGAGAGCTCTCGTTTATTTTGGAGGAATGATTTGAACCCAGGTTAGTTTGGCCCCATTCTTGTCTTAGTACTCTTGATTGGCTCATTTGATGGAAGAAAAAAAACCCCATGTATCTAAGAGACCAAAGAAGGGGACAGGTGGGGAAGAAAAACGAACATGGGTGAGACCAAATTACCCCGCTGTGGGTGAGATTATACATCAGCATGACCTTTTTTAGCACTGTAGAAATATTGATCATAAGCCTTAAGATGGGCTTATCTTTTGAGCAATTACACTTCTAGTATTTACCACAAGGACATACATAATGAGAGATTTATGCAAAAGTGGATGGACTTTTATCTCAGTATTATTTATAATTTCAAAAACAAACTTAAATGTTGAAGAATAGCGATTATTTGATAATTAACACACAGCCGTGGACTACAGTGCAACTATTAAAAGTTGTATTGCCAGTACATTTCATCAGCAAGGGAATATTTTCATAATAAACGCCCTTGTTGAAAAAAGCAGAATAAAAAAGTCTTTAAATTACAATGCCAGTTTAATACACAAACCAAAATACATATGGATGCATATCTACACATAGCAAGGTTCTAAAACAGTCACCAACATTTTAACAATGGTACTGTAGGGTAATAGTATTGCGGGTTATTTTTATTTCATTTTGTCTTTCTGCCTGTTGTTTCTTCATTGTCTACATTGAGCACAGTTGCTTTTATAGGCAAAAACAGAAACAATGGATTTTCTTTCTATATTTTAAAATATAAATATGCACTGAAAAGATATATCATGGGGCATCGCCCCCTTTTTTTTTTTAAACCAAAATGGGCAGAGGAGGAGGAGGAGCGGAGGAAGTAAGCTGGCTTTAAATATTAGAATTAACCAGAGCCTTGGAGTCCTTCCTGGTTAATTTTGCTTTAGATAGGCAGATATGATTGTGCGAACACTAAGGTTTTTGTATTCCTCACTCTAAATCTGTGAGTTTATCAAATTCATTAAGTATCAGTACTTGCTTTTATTTTGGGAGCCCCTTCTACCAGATGTGGTGTCCTGTCCTTTATGAAGGTTCACTTATGCAGTCCTCACAAAGGCCCTTTGGGGTAACATTTTCCCTGGTTTTCAAATGAGGAGAGAGAGCTGGGTGGTAAAGAGTCCCACAGGAATTCCACCTGTGTCCATAGGCCTTGCTCTTCCCACTCAACCTAGCATTCCCTACAGAAGTTTCCCAGTCTTCTCTAGGCCTGTCTTCCTCAACATGCCACTCTGTTCACAGAACCAGCCTTTACCCTGATGACAGAGGTATACGTAGAGAGAAGGGAAGTTGGATACTGAGAGGCCCATGGTTGTGCAGAAAAAGAAGGGATGGAAGCTGTTGCAGTGGGCCACCCACCACCCCCCAAGAAATGCAGCCATTCATTGAGTCTTGACATTCAAGGATCCAGCCAAGCCCACCTAGGCCAGCTTAGACATAGCAGTTCCCACTGCAGAGTATTAGAGGAACAGCCGTGCCGTCCCTGGCAGCAGTTGTATGAAGCCCGTGCAGTGCTGCTTTTCAGAGTGTGGACTCATCCTCGGAGAAAGACGGAGCCCAAAGAGGAAGTATTATCCTACAACTCTGTCTGTCCACCCACCCTTTCCTCGGGGGCTTCTCAGGAAGCATTCCAGAGGAGTGACTGGGGATTGAGACTGTCTCCACTGACACCCCCAGAATGAGCGTGGGCAGGTGGGTAATGCCTGTTTGCCCATCTGCCCAGGTCCATTTTCTGCACCACTAAGGCTTTCACTGACACCAGCAGCATTTCTTTGAGAGAGCTAGTGGAAAAACAGACATTTCCTGGTAGCCTGCCCTGAAAAACGAGGGTTTAGTTAAGGTCCCTAAATGAGCCAGAGCTCAGTACTGACACCTCCGTTTGAACATGAAATTCTGGGCTTTGGGCACCAGTTATTTGACACCCCTGGACCCCTCTGCCCCCGGTAACACGACCGGAGTGCCTGTGAACGTGCCTCTATGTTTTCCACTGGGGGCTTTGCTGTGCAGACACAGGTAACAGAGCTGTGCTAAGAGGGGGAATCATCGAAAGAGGGACACCCGAGAACCTGAGGCATATTACTACTTCTTCTCTGTCCTTGTAGTTAGTTAAGTAGTGGTACCGTTTTCTCTTCATTTTCACTCCTCTTGGGATCATTTCATTGGGGTTTATAGATGGTATAAGTCCTACTTTTCATTTTGTAACAGAAAAACTGTTTTCTCAAGACAAGTGAAGCATACCCTAATCTTAACAGCTATCCTTTAGTGAACACTTACTGCATATCAAGCTTTAATACACTAAGTATATTTATAATCTCCTTAATTATCCCCATTTTAAGCAGGGAAAGAAAATGTGGGACGCGGAAGTTAAGCTGCCCGAGGTCACACTGCAGAGCCAATACTGGAGAGCCGTCTGACCCTAAAAACTTGCACCTAGCTGTTAATTCGCTATTCTTAAGAATATTGTTTTCATTTAGAAGTCTGTTTAGCAAATATGACAGGTGTTCTCATGAAATTACTGAGAAGTTTCCAAACCATTTTTCTTTATTTTCTCTTGAATGTGTATTTATGATTTCTTGGAACTGGGATTTCACCTGTTTCAGCAGGTTCTAGGACATGTCATACAACCCCCTGTAGTTGGCCAGCTTGGTGTTGGGCATTTCTTGACCCCTTCTGTCCACCAGGCTCGTGAAGTAAATGTTTTGGGAAGCTTCATTAGGATCCTCTTCGGTGGGAAGGGCTGGAGGGAAGCAGTGGGCACAGGCATTCAGAGAAGCCCAAGTTCCAGAGACAGGCTGCCTTGGTTCAGCTGCAGCACTCCCACTTTCCACCTCAGAAAACTGCTCAATCTCTCCATCTTTCAACTTACCCCTCTTCAAGATCAGGGCAGCCCTCACAGGGTTATCTGGAGGAGTCCATGACAAAAAATGCCCAGCCCAGGGCCTGGCATGTTGGAAGTACTCTATCAGTGGGAGCTGTTAGGTTAGAAGCCAGACTTTGTCCTGTTGCTACACCTCGTCTTGGCATAGAGTGGGGGCTCATTTTGCCTTTGACAATAATTCTCTTTTCCCAGATATAAGATGATCACAGCTGCCTAATTTTTAACCCCAAAATTGAAAAATGGGAACACCATAACCCCATGGAAATTTTCCCAAACTACTCCAGATTACCAATCCCTCTGTTCTCAGAACCCTTCAGTTCTTGGGATCAAATCAGAGGTGGACACTCAAAGTCTGTTCATTAAGCAGATGAGGGTACACAGCTATGGGGCCAAATATAATGAAATCCATGCAAATAAGTCACATTTCCCAGTAATTTCCAAAGCTGACATGGAACACTGTAGAAACCAAGAATCAGTGGTTCCCTTCTCTACTTGCTTATCAAAATCACGGGGCTGAGGTTGGAGGGAATTGGGACAGCGTGATTTTTATGACCCAGCTGAGCCTGACTTATCCATTGACTTGACGCTGGGAGGGCTTTTCATTTTGGAAAATACATTGTGTTTCTTTTTATTTTATGATATGCTAAATTGTGATTTGCAGTGTTCTTCCTTTGGTTTTCTTGAGAGGATCCTCCTTTCCATAGTTCTCTGGGAGAATGAAAATTTAAGTCTATGCAAAGTGTCATTTTGTCTCTAAAACCCTGGGTGACCATAGGAAGGAAGAATTGACAGTCATGTGGTGCGGGCATTGTGGAAGGCTTGCCTTCATGTTTCAGGTGGATGTGTTTGAAAGTCTAGGCAGTCATTTCCAAAGGGAACCGAATGGGCTTGTAATACTATTACCACAAATAGCTCTGTAAGTGAATTAATATAAACATACTGACAGAAAGTGGTTACATCTCTAGAAATGTTCCACCTCAAATGGTGAAAGTCAGAGGAACCTTAAAGAAGGGGATAAGATAACCGGAGTATCTCATGGGTTTGGTCCTGTAGCAACCCAGAGACATGGCAGCTCGCATAGAGGAAGCGAAGTGTCTGGGCTGTTGGTTTCGTTTGGGAATTATATAATTCCTTTCTTCCAAAAAGGAACAAACCACATACTCTTTTTTTAGGGCACATAGAGACTTCGTTGAAAAGGGGAACATTTGTTTCCCCAAACAGAATGACATTCTAGCTGTACCAGGAAACAGTCTCTTGCAGGAAAAGTATGTTTTGCTATTACCAGCCACTACTGGGAACTGCGGCAGCCCCAGCCAGCATTTATTACTGGTCTTCTTTCGATAGTCCTCTCTTTGCAGATAGGGCCCTTTCCATCAAGTTTACATAGTGTTCTGGGAAAAGCCTTACAAGCAGGCAGAGAGACTGTCAGGGCACTTAGGAAAAAATGGGGCTTGGTCTTTGTTTTTATCTCAGATGTTAAAATAAAAAGAAGCCCAGGTGTTGAAGAGAATGAGGTCTTCATGTTCTGCTCTGTGGAGTCCTCTGCTCAGACAGGAGTCCTGAGAGCAGTGACTTGTCCACACAGAACCCGCGTCACCCCCACCCACCCATTCCTACTCGGGAGCTCACTTTCATCCTGTCCTGATTTTTGTTTTCTTCATAGCTCTTCATACCAGCTAAAATGTCTTACCTGATTGTTTACTTTTTTATTGTCTATTACACACACAGGTAACACTTTCCTAGGAACTGTTTTGGTTACTTAAATGATCAAAATATACTTAGAAAAAATATTGGGGACATGTATCTCCAATATGTATTAGTTATTTTTATTTACTTATTTATAAATTACATACCTACCTTACTAATTATTATATTACATATATCAGATGATATATATAAAATACAAATCTTACAAGGATCAGATAAAAAATGCAAATAGAAGCTTTGATATTTTTTTCCCCACATGGCCTGACTTGCAGGACGCTGTGTTTGAGAGTAGAAGCCTCACTCCTCTTGTTTTCTGAGGTGTTCCCAGTGCTTGCGACAGCAACTGCCATGTATTAAGTGCGCACTAAATATTTGTTTAGTATTTACTATTGAGTAACAAGGAAGGCTAAGGCATGGTTCACTTGCCAGGCTCCCAATAGCTGAGGTTTATTGCGTCTCTGCAGGACGAGAAGAGAAAAGCCCTAGTTTTTAGGGTCAGAATGCCTTCCTAATACAATATGTGCTGAATAAGGGATTTACTGTAATGATTCAAATCCTTCACCAAAGAGGTAATTACAACTTCCTTGATAAGAGCGGAGCTCAAGCAGACAGACAGGTGGTTTCTAGTTTCTCTTAGAACAGATGGCACAAATGGACCAGCTTCTGAGGCTTTTTGAGGAAACTTGCTCATAAACAGCCTTAAATATATTATTTTTCATGTCTTCCAACACATGCTTTCTAAATAAAGTGAAAAGTCTTAGTAGATTGAGCGCAAGAGCACATATGCACAATGCTGCAGGGAGCAGGGCACTTCCAGCTTACCTGAGCAGCAGGTGTGGCGTGTCTGGCATGCACAAGGGAGATTCTGTGCCCCCTTGGAGGCCAGATGTGCTAAGAAGGTTCACCATAGTGAACCTTTCCTTCTAGGTGCCCTCACAGGGTTTTTTCCCCGGCACTTTAAACTATACATTGCCTTCTCCCATGAGTTGAACACTCATATTTTTTAAATGAAAGAGCTCAGTTTATTTGATTTTAAGATTTTTTTTTTTTTTAAAGAGGGGGCAGATGGTTTAGTGGCTAAGAGTTAGGACCAGTTTCAGATCCCAGCTCCTCATTGTCCACTAACCACTTGGCCTGAGGCAACCAAGATACTTAAACTTAATGATCTTCTGTTTTCTCACCTGAAAAATGAGAATAATAATATCTATCCCTGAGGTGGTTTGGAAAAGTTGAGAGGACGCCTGTGAAAAGATTGGCAGAATGACTGATATATAGTAAGTATTTAATAAAAATTAGAACTCACCACTTATTACCATCATCATTTTCACCTTCCCTTTGAAAGCTCTTGGCCTGCTATAAACATGTGAAAACAGAGAAATGAGCTAAACACAAAAGACACATTGCATGATTCCATTTTTGTGAAATGTCCAGAAAAGGCAAATCTCTAGAGACAGAAAGTACATCAGTGGTTGCCACTGGCTGGTAACATGAGCAGGGCTTCATTGCAAGTGGCCGGAGGGACCTTTTGGGGGCTGATAGAAACATCATAAAACTGGATTATAGGTGATGGCTACACAACTCTTATCAGTGGTGTACACTTCAAATGGGTGACCCTTATACTATGAAATTATACCTCAATAAAATTATTTTTTAATATCCTCTTCTTCCAAGAATAGTAAACACAATGAGTAAATATTGACATGATGATGATGATGTAGTATTGACAAATGAAAGCAGAATTAAGAGGCAAAAATGTTAAATAACCATTAAATCCTTGCCTGGAATCAGCATGTAAGTTTTTTATTAATTAATTTTGCTTTTTAGAATAACTAAATAGGTCTTGGAAAAATAAATGCTGTACTTTTACTAGAGGAAAGAAAAAGATAACCAAGAACAGAAATTTCCAAAATTTAAGTCTTATGACACTGAGGTACCTGAACATTTTAAATAATGCCTGGATGACCTTTTTTCTTCATTTTAATAAGAATGATTTAGAAGGGAATAAGTGGATGCTTCTGCTTTATTACAGGGATCAATTTTTAAAAAAATATTAGGATATTCTGTATTAAATGTACACATGATACACAGATACAGCCAAAGCTAGGAGGCTGGGGCAAATGACTAGGTTTGGGCAGCACTCCCCAGTAGTCAGGAGGAAGAATAATGCCAACAAGTGACCAAAATTAAATATGGAAACACAGGAGTCCATCAGAGTACAGTCTAGTGTGCCTGTCTCCCTCCCTGCCAGAAGCAGAAGGTTTGAAACACCCTTTCCGTCATACCTGTCAGGCACTGCCATCCGAGGCGAGCAAAGGGGGAAGAATGCAAGCCATCATGACAGCACTAGACTGAGATATGCTTACATTTTATGATATCAGATCATTCTGACTCAGGAATATCTAGCTGCCCGGCTTACCAGGGCCTTATGCTTGGCTTCTGGTAGAACCCTATTTCCTTTTCTTTCCTTAATGACTTTGATCCTGTGGGGTCTATTTTTTTTTTTTAATGAAACCTTTATATATTGTCAATTCCAAAGAAACTTAGGAAGCATCATAGTGTACAAGAGATATAAGATGAGGACCATAACTTCCCTTCTGCAAGACCAGAAAGGAAAGGCTAGTGCTTGAGGATTCAAAGAAGTATAGAACTTACTGTGATAACTAGAGAAGCCTCATGTCGGAGTTCACGCTGAAAATGGGCTTTGACTGGTGGATGGGCATTAATTAGGGGCAAGGGAAGAGACAGTCCAGGTGGGAAAACAGCATCAGCAAAGAACATGGTAATGGAAAGCTGAAAGCACCCCCGTGGCACAAATAAAACTGTTTGGCTAGAACGCAGCGGGTTGGAAAACTAAGGCCCATGGGCCACATCCAGCCAGCTGT